TGGCCCATGGGTGCCCTTGGTGGGCTTCCATGGCCATAAGCAGTCGTGGGTGGCCATGGGTGAACATGGTGGGCTTCCATGACCATGAACAGTCATAGATGGCCTTGGCTGACCAGGGCTGGCCACAGGTGACCAAGGGTGGCCACAGGTAACCAGAGGTGGCCACGGGTGACCAGAAGTGGCCATGGCTCACCATTGGTGGCCACAGTTGACCATGGTGGGCTTCCATGAACATACACAGTCATAGGTGGCCATGGCTGACAAGGGGTGGCCGTGGCTGACCAGAGGTGACCATGGCTGACCCTTGGTGGCCACGGGTGACCATGGGTGGCTCCTCTGGGCCATTCCACCCCCTTCACCGCCCTCCTCTCCCCGGCGCAGGGGTGGACGCCACCTTCGTCCTCCTCATGTTCGCCCTCATCTCCGCCCTCATCGCGGCAGGAGCTGCCTTTGCCTGTTTCATCAGGTGGGTGCCACCCCTCCCCCACGGGGTGCTGTGGGCTTCGAGGGGGGGACCTTGGGGGTCCCAGGGGTGGTGGTGGGGCACCCCAAAAGCTTCCGTGCCCCTCTCCCTGCAGGCGCCGCATCCAGCAGGCCCAGTTGATGAAGGGGCCCAACAAGATCATCCTCACCATGGAGGACCTGACCTTCATCAACACCCAGAGCAGCAAACGGGTGAGGGGGGAAGGTGGGCAGGGGACACACGGGGACAATGTCTGTGGTGGCCACCATGTTGGCTTGGGGACTCGATGGCCCCAGAGGTGGCTGGGAAGGAGACCCATGGGTGACGTGGCCTTGGGGGGGATCTATGGACTGTGAGGTCCCCATGGGTGATGTGGCCCCATGGGTGACATGGTGGCTCCATGGGTGATGTGGCCTTTGAGGGGCACCTATGGACTGTGAGGTCCCTGTGGGTGACACGGCTCCGTGGGTGACGTGGTGGCCCCATGGGTGATGTGGGCCCCTGGGTGACAGGGTCTCCAGTGGCCCCGTGGCCTAAGGTGGCCCCTGTGACCAAGCTCTGCCTTGGGAGGTGACCTAGATGTTGATGGGTCCCCATGGGTGACAACGTCCCCATGGGTGATGGGGGTGATGGTTGTGTTCCAATGGGTGACAACGTCCCCATGGCTGATGGGGGAGATGGTTGTGTCCCAATGGGTGACAACGTCCCCATGGGTGATGGCTCCCAATGGGTGACAACGGCCCCAT